ATAGTAAGAGAGCCTGCGGATAGGCCAAACATGGAAACAGTAATTGAAGAACTTAGGTGATTTTTCAAGCCTTACTGCTAAAAACGATAGATCCTAAAAATAGCTAATGTGGTTAACAAGTTGCGAAAACACCATGAGCTTCACAAATGCTTATGAAAAAAAAAAAAAAGATTTTAAAAGGCTTGAAGTTCTGAGCTTAGTTGTGGTATAACACAATAGGAGAACTTCGTTCTATGTCCTGTAGCAAAGGTATTGTGGGCTGATTAAACTTAGTAAGAAAACTGTTCACGCTATATTGTGAAACGCTGAAGGTACCATTGAAAATATTATCCACCGGGAGGTCGCAACTCAAAAATGGGGTTGGATGAATACTGGTTTTCCTTGTGTAAATCTATCAAACGATGCCCGACGAAAACTTTGATTCTTAAGCCGAAAGGGTAATTTGTTTTCGATCTCGAACTATTGCTGTTAAATTAGCCAGTTCCATTTCAAAGAAAAAAATTTCAGCTTCCAAATACTTTCGGTCTGTTGAATGTATACTAAAGACTAAGGCGTCCAAAAAGGTCAAAACTTAGCTACTATTAAGATAATCAAATGATCTTTTAAAAAAAAACATATTCAGCAAGCGATTCTAAAACATCTGATAGACTTAGATTCATGGATGTCACTGCAATTTTTTGAATGTCCTCTTGTAATAAGCCAAATTTAGATTCAGTTTGAAAAATAACTTGATCAAGGGCGGATTTAGGGGTGGGTAGAGGGGGCCGTGGCCACCTCTTTTTCTTTGAAATTTTGTATTATTTTTATAGAATTTTCAGAAAAATTAAAAGCATCTATATAGCTGGCAAGTGTCCCGGCCACGCCCTTCTGAATTTTCTGGATCCGCCCCTGTTGATGCTTATCATAATTTGTAGTAGACTTTATTTTAACCTTTTCTTGCTTTAATTATGCTAATTGTTCAACTTTTATTTGTTTTCGAGAAGTTGGTGTGTTTTTCCAGACTTGATCTAGGCTGTTTTAAGAAAGAGTTGAAAAGTGTCTGGTAGCGAAAAACCCAGCGGGTAGTTTAATTGCCATTCGGCCCTGTAGGAACTATGTGAGAAAGACAAATCCTTAGGGAGATCATTCTTGTTTCCTTTCATTTTATTTATTACAAACTAGAATGGCAGATTTATTTGATTTAAATAGTTGATGACTAGTATTTAATCCGCCATACTTGAAAAGTAAAGAGGACCTCGACTGGTCTCCTTGTGGTAATTCTGCATAGACAGGAGAGGGGCTCATCCAGCTTGATTGGGGGTTTTCCATCCATTACCGGATAGAGTCAAAGGAGCCGGGTGGTCGGTGTGGACTGCAAAAAAATCTTCAAAGAACAGTTTAGTATGGTGCAAGTGTGCAAGCGGATCAACATTGTATAGTATGGTATGGAGATTTTCAAGGAGCGCTTTAACCACTGAATGTCCCTAAGTCTTCCCTCGTCAAATGCGTTGGTCATTTAGCGTTTTTTGCAATCTTAAAATAGGGTGCTGTTTCTTGGAATAGAAATCCAATAATAACAAGGAATGATTATCAATTGTCATTTTTAGAAGTTTCGTATAACCTGTACATTGAATTTATACTCTAAGTGTATCGTTTTCTTTAACTTAAACTACGATATTTAACAATATATAGCTCTTTATTCAGAAGAAATTCTATACTTTTTGTCCTTCATTACTCCCATATTTTAATAAAGCACTCTTTAGATTCGGTCCCACTATCCAGGCTTTTTATCAACGAGTAAACACGTTATGTTTGGGAAAGTGTATTGCAGAAGAATTCTCTCACTAAAGTTCCATAAATGTAAGCGCATCCCTGAGACCGACGAAGATTGTAGGCTTGGAGTCTTTCGGGGATGGAGAACGCGAGCTCCTAGGGTCAACTTAAAGGTTGTCTGAGCTGTAATAAATTACTGATTTGAGCCCTTTTATGTTGGGTCGGCGAAAAACAAGAAACTGAACTATGGTTAGTTTATGATCTAACCGAACGCAAAAGCTGACCAAATACGGTCTAGACGGAAAGTGATCGTTTGTGATACGTGTTTTGGAGATGCGAGCAAACAATTTAAGCTTTGTCGTAATTTGTAGACATGCCTAGAAGTCTCCTGACCTCCTAGGACCGTCTCCTAGGTTTAAATTTGCACCTTTAAGTTTCCAGTTGGTCTTCATTTAGCTGTTATTTAACTGGCCATTTCCATCGAAAGTTGTCTATTTATGCATTTCATCGTGTTGGTGTGTTCTGAAAAAAGAGAGTGTGAGGGGAAGAACAGCTATTCTTACTGGACTGCCAGGATCAACTGGAGACGATCAGTGCCAACAGTATATCCTAGAATTTTGCTTTTGCATGCTTAACTGGATGAAAGAGTTTACCGCACAGATGACAGCAAGCACAACTCAATTGATCCGGAATCAACTCACCAGTTTTCTCTAAAAATATGTCAAATCTGCTGCCCAAGAAATTTCATTAATGTCAATGATAATTCCTGACTTCCGAGTCACAGCTTCCTAACAAGCTTGCTCTTCTTTTTAAAATTTCCTTTCCTGACTTTATCTTTAAAGGGCCCAGGGGCCCGTTTCTCGAAAGTCCCGGTAACTTTTCGGGCCCGAAATCAAATATTCAAATCGAAATATAAAGAATAAGAGCGCGGGTCCTGGCCAGCAAACTACTCCATTTTGTTTCACTAACTAATAGTTTTATCATGCTAGATGCAAAACTATTGAAACCTCGATTTTTAAGGTAAACGGAGACAGCTTACCGGGCCCGTTAATTATCGGGACTTTCGAGAAACGGGCCCCTGAACCGATATTAGACCCGGAAAAGTTACCACCTATTAATTTCCGAAGGGGTTTCCTTTTTTAAAATATCGTGAACCCCGTGACAAGAATGTGACACCCAACAGGGTCCTGATTTCAAGACTTCTTTTCTAAAACGAGTAATCTCATGTATTCTAAGTTTCCTGGGACGCACTTGCCTGCGTGCAGACGTCTCCTATTTCCTTTGTTGCACGCAGGCAAGGGACGCACAAAAGCTTCGCAAAAATCAGCAGCGAATTGAATGCAGTTTCAAAGTGCATCTGTCCACATTTTAATGCTGTGGCGGCACATTAGCGGTTAACCACCCACAAACCTTCCTGAGTACCCACCCATATAGCTTGTGGGATCGGACTTTGGGCTCTGTGTTGCATCATTCTAGTTGCGCTAAGGTTCGGATACTGTGGCGCGCGGAAACAGTCTCAATTTATTTTCAAGTCATGGGTCAATTAATAGTTTCTGGAATAAAGGACTACAATAATGAGTGCCTTGAAGGCATTTTAAATTTTATTTAAGTTGTGATGCATTTGCCTTGGATGGAAACGGGAACGTTCAATGAACTTTTAAGTTCAATCTAACTCGTTCTAGCGATCACGTTGGGAAATTTTATGTTGCAATCTCCCTGGTCTGAGTACCCCCGCTAATGTCTAATGAAAACATTACCAATCACACCTGAAACCAGGTCCACATTTTAATGCTGTGGCGGCACATTACCGGTTAACCACCCACAAACCTTCCTAGGTACCCACCAATATAGCTTGCGGAATCGGTCTTTGCTTCGTGTTGGGTCATTCTAATTGCGCTAAGGTTCGGTTACTGTGGTGCGTGGAAACAGTCTCAATTTATTTTCATCTCATGGATCAATTGATAGTTTCTGGGATAAAGGACTACAATAATGAGTGCCTTGAAGGCATTTTAAATTTCATTAAGTTGTGACGCATTTGCCTTGCATGGAAACGGGAACGTTCAGTGAACTTTTAAGTTCAATCTTACTTGTTCTAGCGATCACGCTGGGAAATTTTACGTTGCAATCTCCCTGGTCTGAATACCAGTTAATGTCGAATGAAAACATTAACAATCACATCAGTGAAAGTCAATCGTCATTTTGTTTCTGCGATCCGAGTGTTACTTCGGCCTGTAAAGCTACTTCTGCTGTGCAAAACTCGCTCCAAATTAAACATTAATCCTTTCCGTCTGAATGGAATTTTATACTAAGAAAGGTCTTTTGACAAAACCAAGAAGACTGGAAAAATCCGGTGTAAGTTGTATATGTTTTTTTTCCTGATATATAGAGTTGGAAAGATGTAACCCAAAGATTACCACGTGATGGGAAAAATAAAAAGCCATAGAAACTAAGCATCGAAATGCTGCGACTGCTAAGGGAAGGACGCGTAAAAGAGAGGTAGATTAACTTAAGGGTAAAAAGAGACCTCGGTCGCACTAATGAAAACTGGAAATTGCGGTCCAAGGAAAGGATCCCATCAGAGAGTGTCAACTAACAATGTTTCGAATGTCATCGCGCCCAATTAAGTTAATCATATACAGTTTTGGATTCTGATTTCCTGATTCCAGGTACTGGATTACGGATTCCTAGACAGTGCAACTTGGATTCTGGATTTCTTGAGCTGAATTCCGGATTCCAAAGCCCAGGATTCAGGGCCCAATTGTTCGAAGGCCGATTAGCGCTTAACCCAGGGTTAAATTTAACCCGGGTTTCTTTTTCTTTCGTTCAAAAACATTTTCTCGGATAATTTTCTATCTTATTTTTAGGAGCATCCAATCATTAACTTGTTGAAAAAAAGAATTAAACCGAATTAACTTTTCAACTTTATATCTGAATTCAAATTTCGTACTAACCCTGGGTTATCTTAACCCAGCTTTGAATAACCCGGCCCAGGATTCCACAAGTAAAAATTTCTCGGATTCCGGAATCCGGATTACCATACAATTAGCATTTGAATCTCCTTGTGGTGGTCAATTGACCCAAATAAACCCAGATTTTTTCGTTAAACTTTACGAGTTATCTCGTTTTCCTTGCTTGCTTAGTGATAAGGTACACTAATAGACTCAGCCCGTGCTCAAAATCCCAACCAAGAGACGCATCAAAACACTTCTGCTAACATTACCTCAACAGAATAAATATTTATTACAATTCTTTTGACTAGATAGACGTATTCCTAAAGTGAACGATTAAATTTTATTCTAATATTCTAAAACTTATCCCTGAGATTTCTTCTTTATGTATCAGTTCCTTAGTAAATAATTGAGGATACAAAATATTTCTTATCATTACAAAAATCTACAATCTCTATAAAACTAAACACTACACAGGAATGGTTCTTGCAGTGTTTAACTCTTACTGTGGCGATTCTAGACATTGCCCTATTTTCACACTATTTTCCTTAATTTGCCGTGTTATTATGCATGCATATCTTCTATACACGTATCTAAATGAACTACATATTAGTACTAATCCTTTTCTTGAGACGGATTCAGTTCAAATTCAACAGCACATTATAACTAATTAGTGGAGTATTATTCTAGTTCCTTTTCGACCTTATATGTTTAAAACCCAGCAAACTAGAAGGATAGTGGAAAGCTGGTGTTTGAAACTTCATCATTCAAAAATGCTTCCATCGTACCTGAGACTTTCCCCTTTTGAGTACAATATGAGTAATGGGCCATCTCCGAGTTCCCCTGGGCTTCTGTATCAAAACGAGGTTAAGTGCTCAGCCTTAGATATCAAAATGATTTTTCATTCTCATACAACTGAAACTCATTTTTACAAGAAAGGTTGTGCACTTTGCCTCATTTTGAAAGTGAGGGTTTCAGGAACTCGGAAGTGTTCTATTGGATGGCAGGTCATTCCTGTATAAGTAATTGAAATTCGAACTAGTACACGACCTGGACATCCAGTCTGCATGATGGACCAAGATATTTTCAATGGGGAATGTCGTGGTTAACATACTGCAATGCCTTGATCCTTATGATCAGTACTATCTTTGACTTTATGTATTATCACCATTTTGGAAAGTTGTGGAATCCTCTTGAATATCTTCTTCGTTATTTATGGGTGAATACTGTTTACTGTTACGATCCATACTACCAGTGCTGTTCATGACACGAGCTCTTGTTTTCTATTCGGAAAAAGGAGTTGAAACTGTTTATTTAATTATTTATTGAACTAACAAAGCGGAAAATCTCGCAAATATGTTAAGGGAAATGCGGTCCACAAAAAAGGTAGCTTTTAGTACTATTTGGGAATTCTTATAACTACTTTTCTTCAAATATGTTTTTCCATGCCGTCAATTTTCTTAGCGGACCTAGAAAACGGACGTTTACTTCAACGGGTTCAAAAGGTCATGGTTTGTGATTTGTGCATTTCGATCCGTTTTGTGTGTTTCTGTGTTTCAAGGATCGTTACTTGTGATCGTAGTTATGATTGAAAGCAGCGAAAAACGCACTTGTAAAGGCGGTTTTTGAACTTCAGAGGTCGCTTGTTTTTGAAAAGCGTAGTAAGGATCGTCGAGCGCGCGTATGGAAATAAAATCCGCGGTGTCGAATCGTCCAAAAAAAGAGAAAAAACGTCTGTGGACAGGCTACTAAAACGCGGTATTTTAAATAAGAGTTTACAGTAAAAAGCCGATGGGTGCTCATACTGGTAAACTATCTATATACTATTGTCTACCAGTTTTGTGTTATCAATGCAAGTTACTGAGAAACGGGCAACCTGTCAAACATAAAGCAGGTTTACAGCAAAAAGCAAGCATGACGGATGTTACTACCTAAGTTTCCATTACTCTAGCTCTACCGACGGGCGTAGTCTACTTATTAAGCAAAATTTATGAAGCAGTTGTTAAAAGCCTTCCCTATGCTATGCCAATGAATACCTTTCCAGGTATTATACTTCATCCGTTGTTAGTTGTCATCTGTGATTTCTTGTTCTACAAGTTGCTGTTGTAGTCACATATATAAATCAACAAAAACGCTATTGTTGGTATAAAGACTAAATGAATGTTAACCATATTTAAGTATCAAAAGCTTCCATTCTGGTCTTAGAGTTGCTAATAATTTTATTACTGCAATGTTCATAGTGTACTGGCGTTTAGTATAACATTTCCTTCACTGGTCAATAGATTAGCTCGGAAGGCCCCCGCTGTTCAAAATTTTAAACGGTTAAAAATGGTTGTTCACTAGAGAAGATGCTTCTGTATCAATAACATTCAAACTTTGTCATCTAACTGGAAAAAAAGCAGGACAAGGCAACTTCAACATACCTGGAAATCATCAGATTCACTTTCAGTATCATCAACCAACAGATATTTTTTCTCCCTGTAAAAATACTTCTTCTGAAGTACATAGAGAACCACAATGTCACAAAGAACTGTGGCCTGCAAAAGAAATAAGATATTGTAAATTTCATGCTCCCCTGAAAAGAACGTCTGATCGCAGGTGAAAGGCACAAGAACACATTGTACTGTAAATAAAACAATAAAATAAAATGTCAATGTCAATTGAATACTTACAATACCAAGAAGGGCAAGACCAGATCCCAGGTTGAGAAACAATGGGATGACACTGAATTTGCCTCCCTGAGAAGACAGAAAATCAAACATTTTTTTGTTTATTTTTATCAATTTTATAGCTCTTTATTTTGCTATTCAAATTGTTTGGATCTGTCAAAAACGAAGTGTTATCACAGGCACACGGACCTTCCTTTGAGTAATTATAGCATACTTCTCTGAACTCTGCAAATTTCTTTATTTAAATAAGGCGAAAGAAAAAAGCCAAGGCGATAGGGCTAGGGAAACGTTTAGATTCCAAATTGCTATGTGTTAGCTTGTAAAACAAAGTAAGGGCTTAACATATCAAGTGCCCTTTTATTGATATTATCTGATCCAGACACATTCTTCAATAATGAATTCATTCATGGTAATATCATTGCAAAAGAACAGGAAACCAAAAAAGGAAAAGCGTTTCTCAAGCAAAGTGTTGAGGGAAATACTTAATTAAAATGAAAGGCCATATAAAAGGGACGATCAAGGGCTTAGACTAAAAATAGTCTGTAGCCATGGGGTTAGGACATTTTCTGTAAAAGATATGACTTCATGGTGAACAGAACATGCAACAATTATTTTTACCTGTCCATATACCAGGATCATAAATCGTATACCATAAGCTTTGAACAGTGTCCTGTAAAGAACATTGTCTTGTACATAGTAATTAGCATATCTGCAAAAGTATTGAAAAAGACAAAATAAAATAAAGAAATTTAAACACTTTTGTTTAGCCTGTGCCACGCTTTCAGATAGTAGGAATGTCCCAAACTGAACAAGCCATGAGAGAATAAGATGTGTATGATCTGGGGAAGGGGGTGCATGTTTTATTTATCAGCTTTGGTCACCTCTGCTCATTACTATAAGTATCTTTGAGTCTGGAACAGGTTATCTTCCGAGGTTAGAATATAAAAAAAAATTGTCAGCAGGATCAGTATGATGATAATGATATGATATGGAACTGATGTTACCTGAAATTATAACCTTCGGCAATCAGTGCTTTGGAGTCATCCAATCTGAGGAGAAAACATGATTATTTACTAAAAAACCATATAATGATTGGTGAAAGAATGAAAGATGGTAAATTTTAAGCTCAGTTAACAAATGTGAAGATGAAATAATGGGCTTGTCACGACCGTGGGACAAAGAAAAAATCAGAATCAAAATTTGAACCTATGATCTCCCAAACACCGGGCGGGCGCTCTATCCACTGAGTTACGGAGAACTCATGGAGAGCAAGGCCATATACTAGGTTCATATTTGATGTGCGTCCTGCATACTGCTAGGATCAGCAATGTCAAAATCGTACTGTGTGGTGAAAGAATGAAAGATGGTAAATTTAACCATCTTTCACTGATCGTACTGTGTGGTGAAAGAATGAAAGATGGTAAATTTAACCGGACTACATCCTAATATTACAGCCCAACTATAATTATTGTAACTAGGAGATCTGTAATCACCTTCTAAATGAGTACTTGGGTTCACAAGAATATGCAAGAGAGTCAAAGTTACAATTCCATGTTATAACAATGGCCATGACTCCACCCTAAAATGACATGAAATTGATGACAGAAAAAAAGATTATTGAAAAAGTAAATTAATCAATTATAATTTTAAGCAAATTAACTGAAACAGATATTTCATGTGTGATGGTCTACTCTGTTCACTATAAATCATACAAAAAATGTGTTTCTCTATGCCATGCAAGTTTCCAGTTGTTTTTTGTGTAAAAGGAAGAATGTCCAGTAGTTGGCAGTAACTTCACACACACTGATTGGCTAGATTGTATAAGAGTTTTTTTGCCCTGGCCACTGGTCAGGTCATTGATACTGAATTAGGATGATCTGAAACTGACATTCATGGAAAAAGTCAAATTCTGCTTTTTTCTGTTGTTAATTCAAGCCTGAACTTACCTTATAAGCTATATCATCAAAATTGACACCTGCTAGCTCAACAATCTTTCCAAGCTGGAATATTGGACACAGAGGGTCTGTTTCAGGATCATAATTACAGATAGTCAAGTATGTTTTGTTATTGGACTGGATGTTTCTCCTGTTTGGAAAAATGAAAATAATACACTTTAAAGGCAAAAACCAAAGCTTATCACCTGCAACTGCTATTGAAACCTTGCTTGCCATAATGCTTAAGCTGATTCTTGTGATTCAGAGATGCATGCTGCATAACAGGGGATGCAATTTGTTTGACAGCACATATTTCTGTCACCAATGTGATAACGAATGAGATGATTTTCTCAAAGTAAACAAAAAAAGCAACATAAATAAAAAAAAAAAAAAAAACAATATAAATATATAAGAATGGATAGAAATAGCAAAGAAATTACTCTGGCTAAACTCAATTCAAGAATTATCATTTGAAAGGCCATTCCTCACAAACTCAGACACTTAATGCTTTTACAATAAAGGAGCATAATATCCTATTTAACCTTATTAAAAAGCCCTAAGAACGATCAGTGTCAAATTCCTTCTTGTCTTAACAATGCTGTACAAAACAGAGAATGGGAGATAGCAGGTATCAAAGCCAGTCCCTTTGGCCCCTAAGGTTACGCTTCACCACACACACAAGAACAATAGTAACAACGTTAACCTTACCATCATTCTTACGCTGATGCCGGCATAAAGCGTTCTAGCTATAAGCAGACAGTAAGCTCAAAAAAGAAGTATAAATTAAACTGTAAATATTATTACTTACTTTGATTCACCAAACTTGGGAAACTGCACATTGTTTTTAACAAGTATGGTGAAATTCTTGGCAGCGTCAAGAAGAGGAACATTATAACTAGTGCAATAGGAAAGAACAACATCTCATACTGGTGATCAAAAACTTTAGCATTAGGCTTATAATTTCTCATAGATACAGGACAAAATTTCAAGCATACTTAAGTATTTAACTCTTTGACTGATTTTTCCACCAAGTGTTGGTCCATAGGGAACTAGAACATACTCCCATTATGACACTCAAATGGCAGGTGAGTGGGTTTAAAATTGTTGATGATATTTATTTATGTCAGTGCCGTAGCTAGTATGAGGCCAACCGAGGCACTCGCCTCGGTAAAATTTCGACGAATTTCGCTGATCATTTTTATTTTACATAAGCGATCATCGGATATTTTTAACGCATCATGATATTACAAAGAATTCAGCAATTCAGTCAATATACTATGAAAAAATTACCATATCATCGATCTCAAGGGGCTACGTACGTTAACTCAAATTTTTTTGAACAAATACTGATCAAAACCATTGGCGAGGTTAATGGTCACCCAGATTATGTAGCTTGTTTCTGATTATTGCTTTTTAAATTCCACTTAAATTAACTCGAAAAAAAGTTACCAAAAGGCCCAGAAAACGCTGCAAATCGCATTTCCGAGAGACTAAAGTTCAAAATTTCTCGGGGGGGGGGGGGAACCCCCCTAGCAACTTCCGCCTGCCTCGGTTGGCCGTTTGGTCTGGCTACGGCACTGTATGTATTTTTTTATGTATTTAGATTTTCAAGGTATTTAAACTATCTGATTTTCTCTTCCTGCCTGGGTTAGCCCTGCTATTAATTATTTGTGGTTGGAGCAGTTTGTAAATTAGCCTGTAAAATTTTGAAATAAACTTGAAACTTGTTGAAATCCATGCCAATTATTAAAAATATATATACTGCTACAGCATTTAATGACAGGATAATCCATAATGATATAGTGGTAAGATATGCAGGAAACTGAAAAGATGGTAAAAAAGCTACATTAACATATTTTACATAATTATTTATTTAAAAAAATGCAAGACTTACCTTAAATTAAAGCCTGGCATTGGAAGTTCATCAATCTCCACTGGGCACCAGGAATAAATCTCACAAACTTTCTCTCCTTTTTCATTTTTTACACATTTTCCCGTCTTGAAACCTTGTAATTGTTATCAAGAATTTAAAAGCTTTTATTTTAAGAGTTTGAAAAGAGTCAGAGTTCTTTATACACCTTGAATAACTTCTGGTTTGAGCTTGAATATTAAGTAAAGAGAAGAAGGACAAATTTTGACCATGACCAACACATAGTACTACAGTCGTACATGTTATGTTTGGCACAGTGTTTACCAGCTCTTAATAAGTAACACTCTAAAAATAATGATGTGTGCTGGCCTGCCTTAGCAACAAAATCAGCTGTCCTACACTGTATTAAAGGCTATATACATATCTTTGACACTACTCCATCACAGAACAAAACACATAAAAAAACATAAGGTGATAATTGGAAAAAAAAAGGGTCCCATGCAATAGACTCATGACAAATTATGCCTTTTAAGAATCAAGTGGTTTATGAAAGGTTACTTGGGTTTTTTTTTCCAGAACAACTAACATTAGAGCAATACGGCCTTTTTTGGAGATAATCATGTTGTCATGGACTGAGTTTCTATCTCCACCAAAAATACAGAAGAACCGAGAGCCATCATAGACTAACTGCCCACAAGGAGCCATTTCACTAACAATACATTATATCAATTCACTGGTAACTAGTGCATATTAATTTTAGTAACTAATAACTTCACAACACATTTCATTTACCACATAAAACCAACTCTTGGCGCAATTTAGACGTTTGGATCACAAAATGCTAAAATTAAAGATATATGCTATTGGTCAAATCCAACTAGTGGTCTATTATCAATGCTGCATTCTGATCAATAATTGGTTGAGCTACCACTAGGCTAATATTATGTTATAGTTGTTTTGTCTCGATATTTTTGACCAACTAGTTGGATTTTACTAAAACAATAATATTATTCCTCTTGCCCTCATGACCTCTGAGTCAATAGCCCATTTGGCCTTCGGCCTCTAGATCTCTCGCTATTGACTCAGAGCCCATTCCGGCTCGAAGAATGATTGTTAAATATTTTATCAATATATTGTACTATTATTATAAGTGCATACCATGGCCATTTTTCACAGGTTCTAGTGGTTTACAATCACCGTCATTTGTACACTGCACCCCTGGCAACTTTGAGTTCTCTGGACAAGTGTTCTGTGTTTGATTTGGTGTGATGATCATATTTGTCATTACAAATACTGCATTATTCTCCTGTTGGCACAAATTAGTAGCAAAAAAGGTAAACAAACAGGCAAAGTATCAATAAACTAAGGCAAGTAATATATACATATCAGGATTAAAACTGGTATCCCCCACCCCTGCCCTTAAGGAATTCCCCACACCACCATCTTCCATATTTTTGTAAACAACATTTTTTATAAAATAATAAAAAAAATACCTCCTAGTGAAATGATATTCTTGTCAGCCCCCAGCAAACACTTGAAACAGATGATAATCTACTTTTGTTTCTATCATTTATTGCAATGTGGTGCTGTTAAAATTTATTAATCAATACTTCACCAATATCCAAGGGTTATTGGGTGGAGCACACCACCCTTTTGAACTATTAAGGAATTATTCCAGTTCGGGTTCAGACTTTGTACCCTTAAAGATTTTCGCATTTAGGACCAATAAAATGTTTTCTCTTGATTACTTAGCAATATTGTTTTATATATTGTTGCTACTCATTGAACTTAAATGCGGTTACCATTAAATGCAGTTTACTTGAGTTAACAATTAAGAGTAGCCGATGTGCTGATGGCCGTCAAGAACAGCAGAGTTTGACGCATGCTTTGTCGCACTCTCTGGCATAGCCTTAAAGCACATTTCAGTGTGTTCAAGCATAACAGCTTTTTTCTGTGGAGTGTGTTCTTCTTTGTCATTCCTGCCCCTCCCAGCCTAATCCTTCCCTTATTTTCCACTGCAAAAACAGTGTGATGGGAGCTTAGATGACTTGGTAAGGTACACTGTATGGGGGTGATAGGCTGGGTTTTGGGGATTGGCAGCCATAGGAGTGGGTCTCTTTCTAGGGGTCAGTTGGTCACAGGGGAGGTCCCAAACATCCCAGGCACTCATCTTCCATTCATTGTAATTCAGTTGTTATGGTTTGAGCTAAAAGTTTGTACCTCAGGAGGGACAACAAAATCTGATGAGTCCCACACATGAACACCTCCATACAGTGGAAATTCTGGGCCACTCCTTGTTAAGTCGGTGAGTGATAAGCCTTTCACTTTGGTAGTTACAGAACTGTATGGTTCCTGAAATTCTTGATATCCTTTTTTATAAACAATCACATACCTTAAAAACAAAATTACTGCAAGGATTAAATACCTGAAGGTCTATTAAAACCAAATAAAAGAAATTACTAACATCAAAGATCGAATTATTTCCTACATGCTGCACGAATTGCCGTAAATGTCACATATTATGGCTATCTATCTTGCCTCCAACAAAAATAATTGATGATTCTTGCAAATTGGCCTGCGGTCAATATTAAAAAAGAAATATAAAAGAAATAAATAAAAGTAGTCATATAATATTTATAAAATAAAGGCAGTTTGTAAATGCCATCAAAGAAAAGGCATTACCTGACCTATTTGGCAAAATGTTCAACTCTCTTATCGAATGAAACTGAACCAAAATCAATCGAACCTAATCGGTCAGATTTAGAACTTTTCGGTGAGTTTGATTATTCCTCAGACGAATTTAATTCATTTTATATGTCACATAATCGTCAAATTTTATTGCATTGGTTGCATGGGAGGCTTTGAATTGAATTCATCTGAATTAAATTTGACGATTGTGTGACGAATAAACAGGGCCTTACACTTCAACTTTTTCAGTCAGTGGCCAAAGTACAGGCACCAGTTCATATTGCAAATGTCCAAGTTTAGTCATTTACCTTCAGAGCAGGACCCCTGTTACTATCTCCTCCTTTTTTCTTAATAACAAACTTTTCTCCGACACCGACGGCAAAAGAGCACTCATGGTAGCCTTTAACCATTGCTGTGACATCTTTGCATACTCGTCAGTGTGCAAAGAAAGTTGTGTCTGATAACCCGGGGCTAGTGGGATTTTGCTATCGGGCTAGTGAATTTAGTTCTTAACTTGCCCAACAGGCAAGTGAATTTTTTTGAGGAATTTAAATTACAGAAGAACGGTCAAATCAATTCTCCTCATCAAAACGTTTTGGGGCTGGTTGAAGTGACATAATAATTTTGGGCTAATAAATACTAGCTTCACCTTGCCCGAATGGCAAGCTGTAAAACTGACTTTCTTTGCACCCTGCTCGTATTTGAAATTGAAGCCAAACTACTTGAACACAACACCTTGTTTGAAACCAGAAGAAACTGGTTTTATGTCCGATTGTTTTTAAGTGTTTGATTGGCAAACTTTTTGGGTGAGTTGGATTAAGTTCGATTACCAAACCCAATTGAAGTCAATCGAATGACTGGAGTTCGATTACCGAACATTCGATTGGCTAGGCCGGGCTTGTTGTTCTTGGATCAAAATAGCAAAATTAATATGCAACTGGCACCTGATCATAAGCTTGGCTATTAACACGACAGCTAACTCGACTTAACGGATTCAGATATTTTCCAATGTCTATCCTAGTTTGGTCATTGTAAATTTTATAGAACATGGCTAGGCTACTTCTTTTTTCGTCTTTCTTCAAAGGTGGTCGATTGCAATTCTTGTGGCATTTGCATAAACACTTGAAGCAGCTGATTGAGTATCTACAGCTGATCCTACAGCTACAGCTCATCGAATACCTTAAAAAAATCAGCAGTTCTATGCGGTCTTTTATCTGCTTTAGCAAGGACTGGACTGACTTACACGTTACATCCAGTTGCAGGTCAAGAAAGGTAGCTTGTTGCGTTACCTTCTGTATGTTTGGCATTAATTTCGAAACTGAAACTTGGCACTACTCACCCTATAATGTAAACAATGATCGCTAACTGTATTAGTCGATTGATCAGTCCAACCTTTTTGCTTTTGATATGCACTATCTTTGCTGTATCATACTCCAAAAGGGCTGAGAGAACTGTTTCACAAATTCCCCTACAAGACACCATTTTTTCCAAATTTGATCGTGACGAGAAATGGATCGAGTGGGGGTCACTTTATTGATCAAAGGGAGCACGTTGTGTAAGCCAATCACCAAACCCGAATTCTCACGAGGTCCACGAGGTCGAGCAGTTCATACCAGACATAGTCTGCCAACCTTTCTGCGTCATTTCACGAGTAAAGAACTTTATTTTTTCATGAGCAAAAGAAAGAGAAGACAAAACAATTTGTCTTCCAAGCTCGATGAACTTTTAGATCAAATGCAGTCACCTGATTTGAGTAGAAGCATTTCAAAATATGCCAATGTCGACGTAAGCTCGAACAAAACATCTGAGGCCAATGTTCTAGGAAGATGGATTTCCTCACTGGATGATTCAGCGAAGGAACCACAGGCTCAATCTTCAGCTCGGAGCGGAACAGTTCAGAATATTTCTGGAATTCGGTCTTTTGAGGGAAATGAGATTCATCAAATGAAGCACAGCCTTCTGGTGTAAACACGTTGGATGATCATAGCAATGAAATTCAATGTTCTGATACAGAAAAGATGGTCGAGAATTCCACTGTAACAGGTGAAAAAACAACCATGTTAATTTCTCTATCAAGTAAAGTAGAGTCCTCTAGTGTGAAGAGATTGGATGATGATGGCAATAAGATAATTCAATTATTTTCTGTTGAAGACCGGGAAGTGAACACTGCCACCATACAAAATGGAGAAACAACAAGTCTGAGTGATTCATCAATAGAAGCAGAGACATCTGATGTAAACATGGTGGATGATAATAGCAATGTCCTTCAATGTTGTAGTGCAGATAAGATGATTGAGAGCACCACTGTACTAGATGGAAAAACAACCATGTTGAATGATTCATCAACAGATGCAGAGCCATCTTGTGTAAACGTAGTGGATGATAATAGCAATAAAATTCAATCTTGTAGTGGAGATGAGGCGATTACCACCGTTCCAGATGAAATGACTTTTGCACCAAGGGGTTCAACAAATGAAATACAGCCTTCTTTTGTAAGCAGTGTAGATAACAGTGGCACTGAAACAGAATCCTCCCATGTGAACAAGATAGTTGAAAATACCACTGTATTAGGAGAAACAGCAATACCAAAACCGTTTTTAAATAAAATACAACCATCTACATGTATTCATCAAAACGTAGTGGGTTATAATGCCACTGAATTGCAATCTTGTAGTTTGAAGGAAGTGGCTGAGAATGCAACTATGCAATGTGAAAAGACATCCACTCAGAATTCATTAAATCAGATCCAAGCTTCTGATGTGAACAGAGTGGATGATATTGGCACTGAATTGCAATCTTCTTGTGTGAACAATGTGACTGAAAATGCTTCTGTGTCAGATATAAGGGACTCAAACTCGAATATGTCATCAAATGAAACACAACCTTTTCATCTGAACAGTGTCGAAAATAATGGCAGTGAGATACAAGGTCGTAATTTGGACATGGAAACTGAGGAAACTGCTACATTAGAAGAGTCAGCTATCAAAAAGAATGATCTTATAAATCAAAGCCAATCTTGCAGTGTGAATATTACTTCTGAGAATACCTCAGTAATGGAGGATCTTTCAAGTAAAAGTCGCAATTTTGGTGATCCTGAAAATGAACCTGGAACTAATAATTCTGAGGAAGACAAAGTATTCAGTACACAAGAGATGCATACTTCCGCTGTAAACCTGGACAATACTGAAGACAACCAAACAAGGCATTCTGGTCTGATAGACCTGGAAGAGAAAACTGATGTATCTGTAAGCACAGACAAGAGAATGTTAGAGAAAACAGCAACCACTCTAGAGAGCATTTCTAACACGCCACTGGCAAATTGTGATGAACCGAGTGATTCCACTCTAACTTCAAATGGCAGGATGACAGATGAAGCAGTGTCAACTGTAACTGACGTCATGCCGTTGTCAGAAGGAGATGAGTCATCTTTTTCATCTGTTACCCTAGGAGAAATAGAATCTACCCTCAATTGCATCTCTGATGCTTCTGAAGCAGGCATTAAAGATCCAGAAGCTATCCTCTGTGATATGATAGTTGAAACAGCTTGCTCGTGTGTAGTAATGGAGCGTTCAGATGAATCTCTTTGTGTGATTGATGTCTCAGTCAGGGCTTTGAATAGTCAAGTCTCAAAAGGTAGGT